AAACAAAATCTTCTCAATCTTCTCTCATCAGATATTTCATTTTCTGTTGATGATATATACTACTATTTATATCTGTCAACATCAACAACACACACTATACTATAACCCTCATGAACTTATACTGATATTAAGAAACATTTTATTGAATATACTTTGATTTATTCACTATTTAAATTGATTCATTAAAGATACATTCTGTAATTTTACAAAACCTTAATGATAATTTCATTGATGTCAATCTGTTTTTTTGAATCACTTACATAATCAACAAAATTTATAATTCTTATCTATTGATTAATGAATTATTCTAGTCCCCAAATACCATGGTAAGGACAAGAGTGAGGAGAGTCAGCTCTCTCTCTCTCTCTCTCTCTCTCTCTCTCTTTATCGAAATGGTCTCATATGGTCACGTGTATACAATCACTGTTACAGAAGACCTATTCATTGCCTTCTTAAGGCATTACTGTTGTTTACCAAAATGAGAAGACGAATGGTGAATGTCCAGCTTTCTAACCGGTTTAGTGGACACGATAAGTCCACCTAAGAGAGTAGGAAAGCCCTGGTTCCAGACCAATGGTACACATGAGCTTCAGTGTTCTAAAAGAACAAATGGTGTATGAATTTACTGTTTGTCACCAGCTACCATGAGATCGCATTTCCTTACGATGCTCCACTGCCTTGTGAATCAGACATTTAGGTCGAAGGCTCCGGGTTTGGACTCTTGAGTAAACCACCTGACTGGGCCTGGGCATTCTGATAGTATCCCAGCCCTCACATACAAATCAATTGACTTGTGTGGTGCATATGTATTCAGTGCTCCTTTGTACCAATATGTATGTGTTCAAATCAATAAAAAAAACAAAAATGATGTTGATCAAATCGAATATGTATAAACTCATGTTGACGATATTACACATAAATCCTGTAAAAAGACGTATGAAATACAAATGAATAAATAGAAAAGTTGGTATTTTATGAACAATTCTACAGTGATTGAAATCATGAGTCAATTGAAGCTAGACTATCAGGGAAAACCTGAAAGCACTGGACGGTCGTTTCGTCCTAGTATGGGATTCCTTCATAGAATTCAGATTATAATAGGTCATTAAATGTGCAATCAATATTGGTTTGAATTGATTGTCATATACATTTACTATAGAGATTATTTAATACAGTTATATGTACAACTACAGCAGTTTCAATGACTCTCTCGTTCTCTCATAGTCTATGAAGATCCTATGTATCTAAATTAATGGTTGATTTAGTTTTCAGAAGGGGAAATCAGCTTCGTGATTTATGAAGGAACTCACCTTTCACCATGGGGTATCATAACTCATCTAAATGAAAACCATTGTTTATTTAACCTCACTGTCACCATGTATATCATAAGTTTATTATCAGTATTATTATCACCCTGTAAAAATAAGTATATATATTTGCGATTGTACAGCTTTGAAAATGAATTCGCCGAAAAGAGAACTCTTCGCTGAACTAATCTTTCTTTCTTATTTAAATGAAAACCTTCTAACTCCCAGGGCTGAGTTTAAATGGTTTGATTTATTTTTTCTGGTAAGCATTTTCTTAGTGAGTTAGTTTTCTACGGGAAGAGGTCGCTAACTCCATACCCAACCTTTTTCCTTTTTCCGGGGTTGAAACCGGTGGCGGTAGATCCAGGAGGGAGGCTCCAGGCGGAGTTATATGTTTTATATTATATGTTGAATTGGCTTTCATTATGTCTTTAACCATTAACAGGCTACACGTTTTCTTCAATGGATTGAAATTCCTTTTTTTTTAAATCTGTTAATGTTGTTCCTGATACCTAAAGATGGCTTTTCGACAAGATTATAATTTATGAACGAATCAATCAGATTTACGATGACTGGTCTCAGATTTTGGCGCGAAATTCATTCACTCATTTGGTTAAATAGAGTTTTAGCATTATAGCTAATGTCTATTCGTGATGAAAATCATCCAAATGTAATTCCTAACTCTAATTATCAACTGTAAATATTCATATTAATTACCCACGCTTGTTTATAACCCTCATTTAGCTATGGTATGTAGATAAACATTGTCAAGGTCACTTTAGCGCCACATAACGTTTGTTCATAAATTATAAACTCTCCGACATTTCTAAATGAATATTGATTATGTAATGTATTCATCGGAATACTTCTAAACTATTTTGATTGAGATCATGAACCGATTGATATTAGACCACTGTTGGAAACCTGAAAGCAATGAAAAGCCGTTTCGTTCTATTATGAGACTCCTCAGCAGTGCGCATCTACGATCTTGCTCGCGGGATTCGAACCCAGGAACTTTAGTCTCGTGCACGAACGCTTAAACTACTGAACCATTGACTCGAGATTCAATGGTGTTAGTGTCTAACATCAACCAATTCACGAAATTTCGCAACCATCTTCTATTGTACTGAGATAGTACCTGTTTCTATCCGACGCAGATTAGCTCCACTGGTCACAGTTTCTCACTAGAACTCCGAGAATTCCCTCAAGAAGCTAGTCACTAATGAGCACATGTTAATTATTAGTATAGGCGTTGTGGAGATTATTAAGTTTTTGATTGAGATCATGAATTGATTGATGTAAGACCACCGATGGAAACAAGGAAGCACTGTTCCATGTGATACTACAAAAACATAGACTTATTTAGAATAATTCATTAGTGAGTTTTCATTGAATGACTATTTCTTTAATGGACTTCAATAGATCAATATTAGTTAATATATAATGAAATTTCATATTGTATAAAGTAAATATGAGGTTCTTATAGTTGGATCATAGTAGCCTAAGTATTTCAATTCAATTTTTGTTTTAATGAACTTATTTATCTATTTAAACATATATATATATATATATATATATATATATATATATATATATATATCGGTGGAAAAGGGCATTGCATAAATATGCTCCATACAAGTCAATTGTTTCGTATGTGAGATCTGGGATACTACTCGAGTGTCGAAACCGAAAAAGGTGATTTTCTAAGGGTGGAAACCTGGAGCCTTTGATCTAAAGGTTTGATCCATAAGGCAGTAGAGCGACGTTAGAAGATCCAGTCTCATGTAAACGGGTGGCCAACAATAAGTTCATACACCATTTGTTCTTTCAGGATCCTAGAAGCCAGCCTATGTGTGCCATTTGTTTGGAATCGGGGTTTTCCAACTGCCTAAGCGGATTATTCATATCCACCAACCCGCTTTTCTTTATCTCAATTTACTAAACAACAGTAATATCCCAAAAAGGTAGTGAGTAAGATTTCGTTGATAGTAACTGTATACGCGTGAACATATGTGAAAAGTCCCATACTAGAACGAAATGGTCATGTAGTACTTTCAAACATTCCATAGTGATCTAATGTTAATCAATTCATTAATTCAACTATTAAAATGAATAAAACCTCCATGCCAAACCCACCCCTTTTCAAAATAATACATAATCATTGCAGTATATAAATTAGTTCATTGTCACAATACATATATACTTAATTGCTTACTTTACCTTATTTTACTTTACTTTACTTACGCTTATTACTCCTAATGGTGTATAGGCCGCTGACCAACATTCTCCAGCCCACTCTGTCCTGGGATTTCCTTTCTAGTTCGATCCAATTGTTGTTAATTCTTCTCATGTTTGTCTGTTTCCATTTCTTGGCGTAATGTATTATTTAGTCTTCCTCTTCTCATTTGATCTTCAAGATCTCAAGGTGAGGACTTGCCTTGTCACACAGTTGGTTGCTTTCCTCAATGTTTGTCCTATCCACTTCCAGTGCTTCATCCCGATTTCTTCCTCCATTGGAATCTGATTTGTTCACTTCCATAGTAGATTTTTGCTAATAACATCTAGTCAATTGGATTCGAAGTATTTTACGTAACCATTTACATACATATATACTTATTTCATCTTTACTTATATTATACTATCATTGATTGATTGATCAATCGATCGATCGATTGATTGATTGCTTGATTGATTGATTGTTGAATCAATAAAATATTTCCTGCCCTTTTTTCTATTGAATCAATATTAAATTCTTGAAGCATTCATAGATGATCATTTTGAATAGATTGATTTATTGATTTTTTATTTGTTTATTTATTTTCAGAAGGGGTTTGTGGAGATTTTGGGTATTTTCACAGATTGAAATGATGAGTCAGTTGAAGCTAGACCACCCTTGAAAACCTGGAAGCACTGGACGGCCGTTTCGTCCTAGTATGGGACTCCACAGAAGTGCGTATCCGCGATCCCGCTCCCCGCGAGATTCGACCATGGAACCTATTAGTTTCGCGGGCGAGCGCTTAATCACTAGACTACTGAGCTGTCGGCATCCAACGGTGTTAATGTCTAACTTCAACCAATCCACGAAGTTGCCCCACCGTACACCATTGTCTCCAGTGAGTTGATATCTCACAACAGACCTGGTTGAACTCCATTAGAAACGGCTTTTCACTAGAACTCCAGAAGATGCCTCTTGAAGTCAGTCACTAGTGAGCAGATGATTATTATCAGAAGGGGTTTGTGGAGATTTTTAGAAATTTTCACAAAAAATATGTAGGTAATTTTGACCATTCACAATATGATAAACTAAAATGATTGATTTAAATAAAAGAGAAAAAGCGGGAAAGAATTTTTTGATGAAATGAGTTTAGATTAGAATAAATTTTTAAAAAAAGAGAAAAAAAAATAGGGAAAAAAACTTTTATTATACTACTGAAATACGCTCATTTCTTTTATTGTCATTGACCCCACCTAATAACATAACAGATAGAGATATGTCTATATAGGCATATCTGTAAACACTTATACATGACATGTAACCAACCAACCCTATGTACATAGATATGTATGGTTATATAAAGATATGTGTTACTATGTTGTATATGAAATACTAGACTTATATAATGAACCAACCAATCTATGATATTACAATGGATATGTAAAATATATATAATACGATACAATACAATACAGCATAATACAATACACTACGATACAGTACAATACACTACAATACAGTACAATACAGTTATACATTGTTTATTTGCTTGATATTGAATTCAATGAAAGAATAAACAATCTATTATCTTTATATGATCCTTTTACCTAATAGAAGAGTGTGATTTATTATTTATATGATTGCTCTATCTTATATTGTGAAAATAAAAGGTAAGTTTTAGATGAAGAAAGAAAAAAAACCATATTGATTGTTTATATACTATTTAATGTATGGTATTGATATGAGTTAGTTCGTTCGTTCGTTAGTTAGTTAGTTATGTAATATACCTTTATGGGTCAGGGTAATTTAACATTGGTTTTCAGGAGAATCAGACATCATCCAGACTTTCACATGACAACTCAATCCAGCTGAACAGGAGAACCAGACACTGCTCAGACTTACATTTTATAACCCGAGCAGTACAGTTCAATCTCGATTCACAAGAGAACAAAAGACATCATATAGACTTTAACGATACAATCTGAATAGTATAGCTCAATCCTGTGTGGCGCAACTACACAGGTATCAAGTATCCTAGTGGACCATTCGCACCATTCACGTACACATTCATGTCATATGTATAGTTATTCCGATCATAGATCGCATGAATCAATTATGCACAGCATGAACAGGCCAAAGTTGACCTATTCCGTTAACACGACAGTTAAACTCATTAATGTTAGCATAGGTGACATGTCTTATAATATCCCAATGACAATGATCTTTGAGAACATTTAAAAGCAACCACCAGTATGAATGAAATCGGTTAACTAGCAAACCAATGTTGTGCATGAACAGTCAGCAAAACTTGCCAAAGTAATGCTGAACCATCCACAATATCAATGGACAACCTCCAGTCTCATATGAGACCTTCAGCTCTACATAGCCATATAGCTTTGATATTACTTATTATTATTATTATTATTATTATTATTATCATTATTATTATTATTATTATTATCATTATTATTATTATTATTATGAAGTTCGATCATGTTATAAACGTATTTGTATAATAAGCAAAGATGAATAGTGATGAGTGGTTGGATCCAGGATACAGGTTTTGTCACCTAGACATATCACCATCTAAAAGTTGATGTATACTTCGCGACTGGAACTTAATGCCATTTGGTTCGCTTCAGATACGATCATATAATTCATTTAGCTATTGAGTTCCGATAGCCATTTACTTGTGTGTCCTACAATGAACATCAATTGTGAGATACAGATACATTCAGCTGATAAGTTCCGAATAGGACAAAATGCGTGTCATGGATTCTATTATTAGCTATTATTCATCTTTCCTTATAATATTTCTGAATTAAGGCAATATCGAGGCAATCTACACAGAATATATACATATGCCAATAACAAACTAATTAATTGCAGTTCGAAACATCAATGAGAAGATTCAAATGAATTATTACATGACATCAATCATCAAATAAACCATGAAAACTAAAGTGGACACTAGGTAGTATGAAACTTGTCAAAAGTGTGTATAATAACTATCCTGACTAAAACAGAATAGGCAAACTATTCAAGTACTATTACAATAGCATTATATTATTAAAGAGGAATCTAGTGGTATATAAATGGTCATTAGTTGAGATCGATGGGATATGTGTTACGTGTGCTTAACCACCGAATGCCCCGATGTGCGATGTTTTATAGTGTAGGAATAGGTGGAAGAAAGCTAGGTGCGGCCAGACCAAAACATGGCACAAATCCATGAAGTCACTGACAACTGTACTGAGTCATGTTGGAAGGTGTATACTACCTGATTGGGATCAGCGCGATGATAGCAATCGATGGTTAGAGACCTTGAATGACATAGCTCAAAATCATTTGAAATAGCACAGGCGCATCTACTCATTGTGTTCTCTCAAATTCTAATCTTCTGAATTCTTCATGTCCTTTATTTTTTCTCTTCCAAAATTTATTTCATTGGATTATACTCCTTGAATAACATCGTCAAATCCTAATTTTTCCGATTATTGTTTATATTACTTTTACCACTGTTGGATTTGAATAGACAATTGTATCTTTGTGCTCATGTGACATGGTACCTTGAACTGATGTATGTACGTACATACGTACGAAGTTCTACGTTGTTACTGATTGACCGACTATCTCAGTTAACTTTAAATGACATAGTTCTAATTGGAACTTATGTGAAATTCTATTTTGAAATAGACCTCAAAACATAATTACCAAACAAATAAAGTTGTTAGTCATAGGTCATATTAGTTTTTAATTTATATTATTGATTAAAGATTATCAATGAAGTGATCTAGTAAACCTACTATTGATTAGTATAGAATGATAGAATTAATTATAAATTCAACTCTGAAATTTCATCAAAATCCCCACCCAATGATCAATCAATTGTGAATACATTTCAGTCCTACATGAGGTCGGTCGCGGCCCGGATAGTTCAGTTGTAACGTGTTTGACTATGAAGCTGGGTGACACGGGGTCGAACTCGTCAGGGAGCGTCAATTCCCTTGAGATTATAGGCACACCTTACTGACGAGTGCCAAATAGCACGAAACCCAAGTCCAGGGTTTCCTGTCGACTACTTCCAACCATTATCTAATCTGATTTATTAGCGAAATCCAACATCATGTAAATTGATAAAGATCGCAATTGTAAGCGGTAAATAAAGACTATGACCAGTGGAGCTAATCCATATCAGGTAGAGACCGGTATCTACCTTAATACAATAGAAGATGGTCGCACAGTTTCGTGGATTGATTGAGATTAGACATTAACACAGTTGGATGGTGACTCAGTGGTCTAGAGATTAAGCGTTCACGTGCGTGACAGATAGGTCCCGGATTCGGATCCCGTAAGCCAGATCGTGTATGTGCTCTGCTGAGGAGTCCCATACTGCGACGAAACGGTCGTCCACTGTTTTCAGGTTTTCAATAGTGCTCTAACTTTGGTCGATTCATAAATCATAATCATGATTAGATGTTTTACTTAAAGGTCAAGATTTCATTAAAAATTAAAATCATCCAGTAAAGCTGAAGGATGGAAATTATTCACGTCTCCCTGTTATGGGCAAGTTCAGTGCAACACACCTTGATATAACTGATTAAGAACATAAATATAGTAAAGTTTAAGGCCTAAAATGGAATTATTACTAAAAATTACACTCTTGTATGCAACAGACACCTACTAGGTGAAGAGAAATTGATTAAAATTGTTAGGAACGTTGTGAATAGGTTTATCCCTCTAGGGACTTACATAAATTAAACATTTCAGTTGAATGTAGTCAAAATACATCAATTGATAGTCAGTCAGTCATAAGCAATGTAGAACTTGTCACGTAGACATATCAGTTCAAGTTGTCACACAATATCAGTAAATCCCAAGATAATTGAAAAGCATAAGCATAGGCAGGATAATTAGAGAACCCGGTCGTTGCTGCTACCATGATGTGGTGGTTAGGCTTGATCATCGTGATGAACCAATCGTTCCACAAGGTCCTACCATGCCAGACAGATTTGCTGAAGAACGGTAAGACTAAAAGCAGTAAACTCAGTGTACGAGGGAGACGCTATACTTCTGACTGTACAGACGTTTGGCGGCAGTAAGGTGTTCCCTCAGGCAGCCAGCATAGCAGCGATGCTTTCTTCCCTCAAAGGAAGAGTGGAATTGGAGAAGGATCGACCGTAAATATGCATACCTTGCTTTATCCCACAGATATCCTTCTTCGGTGGTAAGGTCGTAACAAGTACGGAGCTAACACAAAAATTACCCAGAAAAGTTTGTGTGCGATCGACCTCATACAGTTGTCCCTTGGGCGTTGCGGTCACGCTCTCAGGTCACTAAGACCAACTCTAACTGAATTTCCTTTTCAGGTACCTCTCTCAGAACCTTTTCACTGTATGGACAATCGGGAAATGAAAACCACCCTCATACTTCTAACAGCAATCACTGATAATTTGAGAAGACAAAATGAATTCATGGAATAATCGTATAAAATATATTTAAAACTTAAAATCTAAATAAAGACAAATAGTGAATAGATATGCGTCAGCGCTTCTACTTCAGAGCTGTATCACATAATGTTTCTAACTACTTGTTATAATAACCGCGTTGACCTTAAGCGAGCACTTTGAAGTTACTCACATGGTTGAATCAACTGATAAGTTTAATATCAAATGATTCAACTAATTGAAATCACTTATATCTGTGTGTTTTTTTAATTGTCAATAAATGTATGTGTAGTATTGCAATGTTGAGATGTTGGAGAAGATTTGTAGCTCAGGTGGATGATTCTGATGAAGTTTTGTTCTCTGAACTAGATGGTTTGGTCGTGCAGCTTTCATAGTTCTTCTGAACGACATCATCAGCACAAACTTTGGATAGAAGTGCACTTCCAACTCAGAGAACGAAACTCCATCAAAAGTATTGCAATGTTCAACACTTAATTTTCCATAGGATATTCAAAAGAACATAATTTTTGAATAACTATTATGATGATCATTTTCTTGTATAACTGTGTTTAGCTAAGAAAGTAGAAACAAAAAACTAGTTTAAAATATACAATACATATAAGGAGCATTCTATTAATAAACGTTTCAGTTACTGCCCCCAAATGCCCTGGTATGACCGAGAGTGGGGAGAGTCAGCTATCCCTCTCAAAATGGCCACATGCATATAACCACTGCCACGGAAGTCCTACATACTGTTTTGTCGCCACTGTGGTACTGTTTACAAAATTGAGAAGACGAAAAGCAAATGTCCAGCTTTTTAACCAGCTTAGTAAGTACGAATGCTTCACCTAGGGGAGTTGGGAAACCCTCATTCCAAACCAATGGTACACATGGGTTGGCTCCAGCATCCTAAGGGAACAAATGGCATATGAATCAATCGTTCGCCAACAGCTACCATGGGACTGTATCTCTGTACATTTCTCCACCGCTTTGTGGATTAGACCTCTAGGTCAAAGGCTCGGGGTTTGGCAACTCAAGATAACCACCTACTTCAGTCTCGGCACCCTGGCAGTATCAATGTTTAGATATTTAAATGAATAACAAATACTGAACCAAGTTAACAAATAGTGATATTTGTTATCATTCTCATTTCTTGATACCAATTTTTTAAAGAAAAAGTTAGGACAGGATTTAAGAACCAAGATGTTTTCATAACTGTTTCG